TCCTTTGCTGCACCTGCTGCCTCCCACAATTCCTGGCCCTCACTGAGTGTATAGTCCATCTTGCCAGGAGTCGTATGTTCCCTGAAGGTGAAGACTCTAAAACATGTCCAAATGGATGAAACCAGCAAATCTCCCCCTGCCATCTCCTGAGCTGTTCCCCCCGACCCTCATGCTTCATGTCCCAGGCTTCAGGGATCCCCATCAGTCAGACCCTCCCACCCCAGGGGTGGAAATAGCTCTCCCATCACTCTTTCCACTGAAACATGAGGTGCAGAATTCACATGGCCTCCTGAGGCCTCGTTACTACGTTATGTGGGTTACATGTTGACTTGGTAGTATTTTAGATTATCATGAACTAAAGAAAGTATAATCCTAAAATTAATTTCACCTGGATGTGGGTCAAGTGTTATTAGAAACTCCAGGAAGCACAGTTTACCACTTATCAGAAGCACAGACATAGTGGCCACACCTTTGAACCCAGCACTCAGCAGGTAGGTCTCTGTGACCAGGGCCAACCTGGTCTACAGTGTGAGTTACATAGTGAGACCCTGTGTAGAGGAATTTTAATCCAGTAATGTGACTTCTCTGTCAAGGAATCACATCCAAAGACCACCTAGGTCTGTGGGATCTGGCTGGAATACAGACTTGCCCTTAACACACACCTTTCACTCCTTTGACTAGAATACAGAGACACCTTTAACCCCACTGGCTGGAATACAGACACCCTTAGCACATACCTTTAATGCCAAACAATGAAGGTAAAATTAGTTTGAAGGAGGAGGCAGCCATGTTTGAAAGTGATGTCTAATGGAGGGGCAGACAAAGTAATGAATCAGAGAAAGATTTGACAGAATGAGTCAGATAGGATACACCCAACTCTCAGGAAAACAGCACAAGAAAGAGAGGTTACTTGGAAAGCAGCAGCAGGAGAGAGGGGGAGGAGGAGGGAGGGGGAGAAGCAGGAGCAGGGGTGGAGGGAAGAGGAGGCAGTTTTACTGGGACAGTTTTACCAAGACAAGTTGTAGGTGAAGACAGAAGATTAGAACAGAATGCCAGAGTTAGTTTGAGGTCAAGCAGAGCAATTCAGTGAGAAGCAGGGGTGGGGCAGGGGGAGGGAGGATAGGTTGAATCGGTCAGCTTGGAGAGGAATGTGAGCCAGAACAGCTGAGTTGAATCAGCCAGCCAGAGTTCAGAAAGAACTAGAAAGGGTAAGCTTATTCAGAAGTGAGTCCTCCGAGATGACAATTACATCTGGCGAATACTTTTACAACCCTGTCTCAAATAGTACAGGGTGAAGAGCTGGGGGTATGGGTCAATTAGTAGAGCATTTGGTAGACTCATGACCACACCCCCACTGACTCATGGCCATGCCCCCAGACTCATAACATGAGGCCCTGAGTTCAATCCCCAGCACAGCGTAAACTGGGTTTGGCAGCTCATGCCCATAATCCCTGATCTCAGGTACACATCAGGGTTCTAGGTCATCTTTGGCTATATAAGTGAGTTGGAGTCTAGCCTGGGCTTCGTGGGAGCCTGTCTCAAAAAGGGAGCGAGAAAAGGAAGGGAACTATGTCCTTTACAAGACCACATGTACCCAGACCACGGCACTGAGCCAAGGATGACTTATTAATATTTTTGTGAGCGTCTGCTGTCCCATATGCCAGGTGCCATGTGCCAGGAAATGTTATTATGGTTGATGCCTACGCACTGTACAGAGAGAAACTGGGAAACACGGGGAAGCTAGAGTCCCAGGGTGGCGAGCTCTGTCATGCTTTTTTCCTCTGTGCTTACACGTATTATCGTCTTGGCTAGTTGGATGGTCCCCTTGACATGCCGGGAGCATTAAATACTGACTCTCGATACTTCAGAATAGTTTTTCAAGGGCTGGAGATGTCTCTCAGTTTGTAGAGTGCTCCCCTAGCATGCAGGAGGCCATGGGTTCAATCCCCAGCAATACATAAGTCGGGTGTGGCAGTGTATGCTTGCAGTCCACATAGGGAGTTCAAGGCTAGCCTGAGACACATAAGATTCTGTCTTGAGTATGTTTTCAAGGCTATATAGTATTCTAAATCAAGGATGACCCAGGATGATTGTGGTTTCTGGGGGCTTGGCACTCTCTCCAGTGGTATGGTATGGTTATTACTAGCTTGTGTTACTGGCCTGGCAAGCTTCTGTGGCTATCTCTGTATACTCATCCGTGTTCCTTGGGTTTGTTCTGGCTGCAAGGGTGTGTATACCATCGTCTGGTACGGATGTCACGCAAGACAGAGTGAGCCTGAGTTTTCTAGTAATTGTGGTGTAACCCAGTTCTGCACTTTCCAGTATGAGTGCTGAAGAAATGGCTGAAGATGCAACTGAGGCAGGGGGATTGTAACCATGGGCTTTTCGACCCATGCCCCAGTTCTTGAAATAACGACTCTGAGACTTTTTATTTATGAATAATGCTTGGGCTTGTTCTGAGATTCACTTGTAACTTAATTATCCTGTTTATTTTGCTCTGTGAGTGCCACGTGGTTTCATGCGTCTGTCTCCTCCTCGGAGTTGGGGTAAATCTGTTCCTGGGCCTGACTCTATCCCAGAGTTCCTTTCTCCCCCACAGGAACTCCCACCTCCTATTTCCTACCTCAGCTGATAGGCCATTGGCTTTTTACTGACGGGTGAAGCTTCCACACAGAACACAGGAGATTCTCTCTGCAGAGGATTGCATAGATACAGTTCAGGGTACCCAGCATGGCAATAGACCGTCAGATGAAAGACACAGCAACTACAGATTTGGTCCAGAAAGACGTTTTGAAAACAGTGCCAGGTCAGAAGCACTTCTGCTTCTTCCCAAGTGTTTGGGCCAGAAGAGCTAGCTGCTGGACTTCCAGGGACGCACCAGGGATAGAGATGCATACACACATATTTCATACATGTCGGATTCTTATTTTCAGGATCCACTTCTCCCGAGGAGAGTTCTGAAGTTGGTGGATTAAGTATTTTAGTGAATCATGGGCATCACAAAGCACACAGAGCACTGGGTTCCGACCCCAGCTCCTAAGAAATTTGGATATGGCAGCACACACTTGTAATCCCCGAGCTCAGGAAGTGGAGGCAGGGGGATGAGGAATTTGACCTCATCTCTTGCCACATAGTAAGTTTAAGGCTAGCCTGGGAGACATCAGACCCTGTTTCAAGAAAGAAAAAGTGTGTCACCCTTAAGCATGAAGCCCCACATTTATCCAAGGAGATCCCTGATTCACTCGTGCCCACATCAAGACAGAGAATCTTCTCTGCCCTCAAGGCCCCTCGCACTCAATCACAGTACTCTGTCCCCTGGGACAGCCACTGCCCTGACTGCTAACAATGTAGGCAAGTGTCTCCCGAGGATGAGTTTTGGCCCCCGGTAGAATCGTGAACCCATGGCCACGCCCTTTCACGCCTGGTTCCTTTGGTTCCGTGTTACACGTGGTATCTGCTTTCATTACCAAATACCGTTCCATCCGTTGGCTGCCTCGACCTTTTGTACTTTGGCTGGTCCGGTGTGGCTGGGCATGTGTGTGGTTTGCAGTTTATGATGCTTCACACAGGCCTGCCGCAAACATCCTGTGTTCATCCTCCTTTCTGTTACGTGCTCACTGGCTCTGGGTCCCTGGTCAGCTCGCTTGCTATCTTGCTGGTGATGTACATGGTTGTATTTTTCTCTAGAAGGGTAGATACTGTCTCGAATGTTACTTGGCCTTTCCTATCATTCCTGACTACACGCACGGTGTGGGGACACATCCCCGCCTGCCTGTGCCGTGTGGGATAGATGAGCTAACGGCTGGAGTGGTGCCCAGCTCAGATTGGCAGGCTTCTGTTGTCTTCCCTGGTGAGCAGCAGCCGCCGGGGATGCTTAAGAACCATGTGTGATGGACTCTTCAGTAGAACAAGGCTTGAGCCTGAGGTAGAGGGAGGGGAGACTCCAAGATGGGGAGGACTGTTAGGTCTCAGGTATCGGCTGCTTCTAAAACGGGGGTTCTCAGCCTGTGGGTTGAACCAACCTTTTGCTAGGTATCCCCTGAGCTCATCAGAAAACACAAATATTTATATTATGATTTATAACAGCAAAACTACAGTTATGAAGTAGCAATGAAAACATAATCTTATGGTCTGAAGTCACCACAGCGTGGGGAACTGTGTTAAAGGGTCGAAGCGTTAGGAACCGAAGGTTGAGAACCGCTGCTCTAGAGTAAGAGATAGGGGCAGGGAGGGGCGGGGCGGGGAATGAAGTGATTGCAGGTGTGTATAGCAGGCCCCAAGTCCAGTCACTGTTTGGCCTAAGCTGGACAGGGTCCCTAGGAGGACTTGAAGGCCCCTGAGCATCAAGTATCTGGGGAACAGAGGTGATGTCCCCCATGGGAAGGGCATGCTTGGGACTGGTTAGCTAGCGCTGTGGTCTTCAGCCTTTGAGTGGCTGGTAAAGCCAGAGACGACGGTATGGACCATCTCTGGTCACTCAGCAGTCTCTCTGAAACAGGGGTGGGGGTGGGGTGGGGGGCATTGTGTGTCTTCGGGGCTCCCTCTTCCTTCCAGGCCCACCTTCTTCCTTCTCTTTCTGCTTTCCCCACCTGGCCTTCTCCCAGACAAGACAAGCCCCACGGGCAAAGGAGCAGATCCACGGTCCTCTTTCATGGGTGGTAGAAGGACCTGGAGGAGTGGTTGGTCCCTCGTCCACCCTCAGGAGCTTTCACTTAAAATGGCTGCCCTCTTGCTAAGGGAGCAGATGGTGGCCTGGAGCTGTCCCTGCAGGCAAAAAGCGAAGCTCTCCTGTGCTCCTCAGTTATGGTTCAGTGTGGTTAAGGGAGATGTCACAATGTCACAAGCAGGATGGCGGTGGTCAAGGGAAAGGGGGGGTCACAAGAACACTGCAGCCCTCGACCATTTCAAGTTCAATGTCAATGATTCTCTCTCTCTCTCTCTCTCTCTCTCTCTCTCTCTCTCGTTCTCTTCTTTCTCCCATTTCCCCTCTCCCTTCTTAGTCTCCTCGGACCAGATAGAACAACTGCACCGGAGGTTCAAGCAGCTAAGCGGGGACCAGCCCACCATTCGGTAAGACACGCAGCCAGCCTTGGGCTTCAAGTTACTCTCTGTCTGTTATCGCTTACCCTGGGTTCGTGTGACTCTGAGCTGGCTCCAAGGCCTGTCCTAGTTTCTGAAGCAAACCTCTTGTTTGAATTCTCCTGGGTCTCTGTAAGACAAGCTGTGGAAGGAAGAAGGGGCCCTATCGGGTTCTACAGGAACAGACACTCGCAGGGGACGCCAGGGAGGAGACAGACAGACAGCCACCCAGCCCTGCTTAACCTCTTTATGTCGTATGTGATCTGGACTTGTCCTGAAGTCCCCCCACCCCCACACTGAGCTCCTGCTGGATCGTCCCTGATGCTGGGAGTCTGAGGGTCTACTGATAGAGTTGTGTGTGGGACGCTGGTGTCGCCCTGATGGGTCTATCTCTAGACTTTACTTCCTCTGGGTCATTCCAGCCTTGGGCAAGGCGAAGCTGTCAACAAGGAGGGGTCAACCTCCTGTTAGGGAAGTAGACGGTTTTCTTCTCTGGCGTCACATTTATTTTTTTGGTACTTGGGTTAAACGTGTTTAAACTTGGGTTAAACATACACCCTTGGTCTATAGCCCCAGCTCCTTTTTTTTTCCCTTTGATGTACCACACTAAGTTGCCCAGGCTAGCCTTGGACTCACTCTATAGCCCAGGCTGGCCTTGGGCTCACTTGTCCTTCTTCCTGCTGAGCAGCTGGAATGGCCGGTGGGAGCCACCAGGCCCTGCAATGTGGAAAGATTTCTGTCACAAGCTTCCTAGCAGATAAGCAGTGTCCTCAAATACGCACGAGGTATCAAGGTGATGTCACTGTGACACGGACAGAAGCCTTGCATGGGCTGCAGAAAAGCTTCCTTTATAGATGGGCTTTGTTCCGCCCTTCGAGGGAGCCATGTGCACATGCACGTTTCCTTGCAGCCTACACAAAGGCACATTGTTAACTACAGCCTCACCCGGAAGGGTTCCACAGTCTTACGGTCCTGTGGCCTCTAGTCTCAATTTGCCACACACATTATCAAAGACAGGATGGATCTGCCCAGAGCAGCCATCCTACCCTTTAAGCCCAAAGGAAAAGCTGGGGCACCTCTCGAAGTTTCCTGGCTCTCATGGGCTCAGGTGCCTCATTCTGAGCCAGTCACCATGGCCAGCCACCAGACACACACTGTTTGCCTTACCTAGCACTGTGAAGATGTAGGCTCTGGAGTCAGACCCAGTCTTACCTGGCTTTGGGTCAGATGCCATCCCTTCAGACTTGAGGTGCAGACGCAAAAACCCGAGAGACAAGCTTCATGGACCTCAAGCTGTTGACTGTGTGGCTTTGGGCCAGCATCCATCCCACCCCTTCCTTGGAGCCGGCCTTCCGTGTAAAGCAGGCTGTGTCCTTGGGTTTGGATCTGTGCATTGTGCCTCAGATGCAACAGTTGGTCCCCAGGTTCTTGTCAAATGGGCCAGGTCACTGTGATCCACCTGAGATGGGGAACAGAGGCTGGGGGAGTCCTCAGTCCCATGGGGAAGGGGATGCCTGAGAGGTCCCACCTCCTCAGAGGTGAGTTTCGGATCAGAGGAAGGGGGACAGTTAAACGGTAAGGTATGAGTGGATGTTGGGGAGCCCCCATGCTGATGCTGCCTCTTAGCATGGCTAATAGCTATGGTGGGCGGTCTTGTCCCACAGGTGTACTTCACACAGTAGGTGTCTAGGCCCTCTCCAAGAAGGCTATAGCATTATCTTAGTTAGGGCTTTACTGCTGTGAGCAGGCACCATGACCAATGCAACTCTTAGAAGGACAACATTTGACTGGGGGTGGCTTACAGGTTCAGAGGTTCAGTCCATTATCACCAAGGCAGGAAGCATGGCAGCATCCAGGCAGGCATGGTGCAGGAGGAGCTGAGAGTTCTACATCTTCATCTGAAGGCTGCTAGCAGAAGACTGTCCCCCAGGCAGTTAGGATAAGGGTCTTAAAGCCCACACCCACAGTGACACACCTCCTCCAAGGCCACGCCTACTCCAACAGGGCCACACCTTCAAATAGTGACACTCCCTGGGCAGAGCGTGTACCAACCATCACAAGCATCTAAGGCAACCCATGTGTATCATGAGCAGGGTAACCAAGTTGGATTCCTTGGCACTGTAGTGGGAACAGTAGCCTCAGGCTGTGTTGTCAGGGGAGAGGTATTCACCCCGCAACTTCCCTAGAGGAAGTTGTGGCTTAAAATGCTTCCTGTGTACCTCACCAGGGCTTTAGCCCAAATGTTACAGCACATTGCAGCTGCACGGCCACTTGGTGTCCCAACATGAGCCCTCTACCCTCCCAGACGCTCCTTGGACATAGTGAATGGGGCGTGCCCGTCTATTGTCTTTCCCTTCCCCCCACCCAGAGCTGCCCTGAGCTGTCTGTCTATCTCACTCGCTTCTGGTCCATCAGAAAGTACTCAATTCTACCCAGAGTCTGGGGTTACTGTCCTGTCCTCCTGTCCCTCTGTTCTATCCCTCTCAGCCGTCACCCCCATGGTCCCCTCCCATCCTCCAGGCCTGTGTCCAGCACTGCCTGTGAGACATGGTTCCTTCCTTAAAGAGTCCCAAAGAGGCCTCAGTTTCTCTAGCATGGGAAGCGTCCAACACTGGGTGATGGAAGTACTTGGCAGAGCTGTGCATGTGAAGAGGAAAGACCATGACCTCTCAGGATGGGGAAGCCCTCAGAAACCAGAGAAGTCAGGCCATGTGACATAGGGCTTACTGTAAGTTCTGCTCTGAGGCCTGGCAGAGAACGTCCTTGGCAGCTGAGCCGAGCCTCAGAAGCCACCGGAAACTACCAGAAACTAGCCCACAGCCCTGTACTTGCAGAAGAGGCCAGCCCAGCCCTCTGTGGCTTTCTTGGTTTCGTGTGTCCTTTGTGGGCTGAATGCTTGTCCCTCTTGGTGAGCTCCTCACCGGGGTTCAGAGTAAAACTGGGCAGGAGTGGGTGCACACCGAGTTCTAATTCTCTCCAAAGCCAAAAGGTACAACCTGGAGAAAGGGAACGGGCCTCCCTGGTGCCTGAGTGCTTCTGCCAGCCAGCTGTGTGACTACAGCTTACTGGCTAGACTTCTCTGGGCTCCACGGTCTTGTCTATGAAAGCGAGTCCATCATTCCCACCATTTATGGGTATGAGTCTCACACTATGTGGCCTGGCATAGGGAGGACACTTCAGAACTTGGGGGAGATGGCTTAAACACCCCTTACCACAGACTTTAAGCTGCCCTGGAGGAGGTCAGAAAGGTTGCTGTCTCTTGGGGCTTTTTGGTGGCCCTTCTTGCTGGCCACTAGGGCGGCAGCACGGGACTGATGGTAGGTAGGTCAGCTTGGTCCCAAGGGCAATGATCTGCTAGCAGCCATGGCCTAGGGTAGAGCGGAGCTGCTCTTACGGCTGTACCATCCAGAGCTGAGCCCTAGTGACAAAGCTCACCAGGGATCTAGAGGGCACAGGGTCCCGAGGCTGCTCCACTTGGCCTGGCCCAGCATTGGCCACGAAACTTGACTTCTCTTTGTCAGAGTAGGGGGCAGCAGAAGTCAGAGGTCTCTGGGTACCCGATGGCTAGACCTTCCTCTCGTGAGTGGCCGCTTCCAGATCAAGGGCAGCACGTCACTCCTTGGGGGGGGGCAGCCTCCTCCTTCCTCCCCTCCCCCTCCCTTTTTTGGGGATTCTAGCAAGGGCTCTGTATTAAGCTACATCCCCAGGCCCTTCTCTACTTTTGTCACAGGGGCTTGCTAAGAGCTATGTAGGCTGGCCTCAAACTTACAATCCTCCTGCCTCAGCTCCCTAAGTACCTGGGATAACAGGTGCTACCTGTCCACCGCTACACTGCCATGGTGTCCGTGTTCCCATCAGTGTTCATGTGTGACATCCTATTCCATTGTCCTGAGTATTGCCACAATCTTATCTTACAAGTGGGACACCTGAAGCTAGGGGCGGGGACACACACACACATACACACACACACACGCTGCAGGGGCAGAGCCTGCGTCAGCAGCCGGGGCCTCTCTACTTCACCCTTCTCACAGGCCTGGAGACGGAACCTCACAGAAGGAGGTGCCTGAGGTGAGGGGGCAGGTAGGATAGTAGAATGGGTAGGGTAGTAACTAGAGGTTGAGAAGAGTGGAGAGGGAGGTGCCGGGGGCATGAGCGTGGCTATGCCCTGCCTGGCTTCCAGTGCGATTTGCCACAGCTGGATGAGCCTGGGCAGGTGACTGGCCCTGTGTGTCAAATTTACTTCAGGGATCACAGGAGCCACAACAGGCTTCCCTGGGGTGAGGCACCTGCTGCAGGCCTTAGAGCTCACACAGCCGCTGTGACTATGACAGTCGTGGGAGCAGTGGCCAGGAGAGGGGAGGGGCCTCTGATGATCTGATGGTGTCCGTGGTAACCTTGGCTTCCCCGGTCAGTCTGGGGTTCTGGTTTCTCTTGTTTCTTCCTGTGGTTGTTACAGGCTAGCAACTATATGGGGGTGGGACAGAGCCCCGTGTGTCTGTCCCTGGGGCTCCCTGGGTCCTCATAGTTGCCAGTTGCAAGGGCTGGTAACCGTTATCCCGTGTGGAAACTCCCTCTGTAGAAACAGACAGCGCTATGCTTCTTATTTTAAGGAAACCAGAGGGGGAGTTTTTAGTAGTTTGGGGGAGAGGTCGTACCTGAGAATGATCCAGTCATTAAAGATGTACTGCCACTTTAAGCATCTCAGGAAGAAACCCTCTCCTGTCACCCACCCACATCACCCTGGAAACCGGACTCCGTATGTGCACGCTTCATCCTAGGTGTGATGTTCTTGAGGCTTGGTGGCAGAGTGTGTCCTTGTCTGGTTAGGGTCTCATCAGACAGAGTCTGCACGGGCCCAGAGTGGCCTTAAACTTGTGATCCTCCTGCCTCAGCCTTCTCATCTCTAGGATCCCAGGCATGTACCACTGTCACGGTACTGTCGGATTTGATTTTGTTTATTATTATTTGCTTTTTTGTTGTTGTTGTTGTTGTTTTGAGACAGGGTTTCTCTTTGTAGCCCTGGCTGTCCTGGAACTCACTCTCTAGACCAGGCTGACCTCGAACTCAGAAATCCACCTGCCTCTGCCTCCCAAGTGCTGGGATTAAAGGCGTGTACCACCACACCTGGCTGTTTTTTTTTTTTCTCTGTGTTCCCCAGGCTGGACTCGAAATCCTAGGCTCAGCTTCTCAAGTGCCTAGGACTTCTGGTTGAACTGCTGCACCCACTTGACTGGATTCCTTTTTTAAAGTATTACTTTGTGTTTACACAACCTTGTGGGGTTGGTTCTCCCCTTCCACATTTATGTGGCTTCTGGAATTGAACTCGGGTCTCCAGGCTTACATAGCAAGCGTCTTCCCACGCTGGGCCATCTCATCAGGCCCGACACCCAATTCCTTCCGCATCCACCATGTCCCAAAGCTTGCTTGCTCTGTTTCTTTGTGTCTTCATTTTGTCACCTGGCACACCAGGACAACTGTCCTAATGTGTCCTTTTAACCTGGGCTCTGGTGAATGTAGAAGGTGGCTGTACCCAGCCACCAGCTCCTGACTGGCTAGATGTCACCAGTCCAGCCACGAGGGAGGGGCAGGAAGCAAGCCAGGGGTATCGAGAACAGGAAAGATCCGGACACCTGGTTCTATTTGTGTCAGAGCCTGAGGCCCCACTCCTGTGAGGTAAAGCCAGGGCAGGATAAGGGACTGTTTGTGGTCCCTCCCAAGTCAAACAGCCTCTGTTCCTGCTCTGGTCTAGTCCGGTGTCACATCCCTCCCTAAAGTCCTCTTTTTAAAAAATCAGCCAACCCTCCCCCCTTTTGAGCATTCATTCTTGTTTCCTGAAGTACTGGGCTATGCCCTAGGTCCCTCAGAAGGTCATTGCCATAGAACAGGTACAGGCAGCCTGAAAGGAGGCTTTTCCCCTCCTGTGAGGACAGGCAGCTGAAACTGTCCGTGTCCCCCCTGCCAGGCCCATAGCTGCTGGTGGGATGAATCTCTTTACTGAATTAAAACTCACACACACTTTACGGCTTAATTATATAAGTGCACAGCAGTGTCAGTGTCTCTGCAGAGCGGGTATCCAGAATATTTGTCACCTAAGAGACGCTTGTTCCCCTTAGGTGTCTTCTGGCTCCCTCAGATTTTTGCCTCAGTGTCTCAGCCTGTTCTGGACACCTCATTTAAACAGAGTCATGTGACCTTTCCCTGCCAATGCCTTTCCAACGGTGTCAATTTTCAGGTTCATCCTCCTGCAGTGGGTACCAGTGTCCCATTCTTTTCCTGGCTGCATAATGTTCCCCTGGGTGGACAGTCCACAGTCCAGCTATCAATTTATCTGGTAGCAGCCACTGTTGGCCCTTCTGGGGATCTTAGGAGCCTTGTTCCCATGGAGACTGCCCGTGTGTGCTGTGTCTCTTGGGCATATGCTGGGATGTGCCAGGTCATGAGATATTCAGAAAGTCCATTTCCTTGAGACCTGAATCCTCCTGCTGGGAGCCCAGTGCAGCCACCCCTCCCCCTCCTCCCTCCCCCTCCCCCCTCCCCAGACTCTGCAGATCTATCTCTGCAGCCTGAGTGTGAGTGTACCCCCCACCTCCCAGGTTCCTCTGAGGGTCAGGCTCCCTCAGTCCTCCCACTGGCATCCAATCTGTAGGCAGAGGCCTGAGGGGAGGGTGGGGCTGTCGGCGATGAAGTGATACCTCACGGCCTGTGTCCGATGGCACTGATGACTATTCTCTTGTGACTTTCTCTCCTGCGTGTCCTGAAATACAGGAAGGAGAACTTCAACAATGTCCCTGACCTGGAGCTCAACCCGATCCGATCTAAAATCGTCCGTGCCTTCTTCGACAACAGGTGTGCTTCCTCTCCTGGGCAGGCCGAGGTGGCCTACCTCTTCCATCACCAAACAGAGAATGGGTGGGGGTGGACAGTCCTGCATGGCTTTGGACGGCTCTCCTGGGTTCAATCCACTTCTCTGTGAGTCACTGCTGGCTGCGTGACAGCCGACTCCCAACCTAGCAGACCCTTTGGGTTTTCTTCACATTTGCACGCATGCACGTGTGTGTATGTGTGTGTGTGTGTGTGCGCGCAGGTGCACATGTATGTTTGTGTGTTCGTGGATGCCAGAAGACAACCTTAGCTGGCATGTCTCAGTTTACCAATTTGGCTAGGCTGGCCAAGGGAGTTCCAGGGAATCCTCCTGCCTCAACCTCCCCAGAACTGAGATTATAGGCAAACGACTCACCCACACCCCAGTCCTTACGCTTGTTGGACAAGCATGTCACCTGCTGAGCCCCGCTTTTTACATTTTATCCTTGTTTCTGAAATAGAACCCAGGGTCTCAGGTGTGCTAGGCAGGTTCTCTCCCTCTGGGATCCGACCCCAGCCCCAAGCTCGGCACTGATTCCTCGTGGCTTCCTTGGGCCCGGAAGTTCAGCGTCTCCTCCCACCTGTGGCCAAGGCTAAGAACAGGAGGTACAGCTGGGCTTTAGGCTCCAGTGCTGAAGGCACCGTTCCAGCCTCAGCTGCTGGGGCTCTAGAGATCTGATTGGATAGTGAGCGCTCTGACCTCTGAACTGATGGGTCTGTCATGGGTATTACTGGGAAGTAACTAAACCAGGCTGAGGCCTAGTTGGAGAAGCAGGGACACTTCAGGGTGAAGGTGAAGGTGAAGGACTGTGGCAGACAGCTCAGGCACAGATTCTTGGGAACATGTACCCAGAGGGCCATGTTGACATGAGTTTGTGTGTGTCTGTCTGTATATGTCTGTGTAGTACTCTGTACACATAGAAGTCAGCCATCTCAAGAGATATTTTCATGTACTGAGGTCCTTCTTCCCTTCCCCGGCTGCCACCATAGGAACCTGCGCAAGGGACCCAGCGGCCTGGCCGATGAGATCAACTTTGAGGACTTCCTGACTATCATGTCTTACTTCCGACCCATTGACACCACCCTGAGCGAGGAACAGGTGGAGCTGTCTCGAAAGGAGAAGCTGAGATGTATGTGCTGAGTCCCAGGTTCTCCAAACGTGGGGATCCCCAACAGCGGGAGGCTAGGCCATCTGTAGGGGGAGGGAGACAGCCAGGGGACATAGCCTGTGTCCTTACACCATCGGCCCCTAAACAGCAGTGTTGGGTGACCTCTCTGAAGTTGCACCTTGGTGGCAGCCTCATAAAAATCCCAGCAGCTTCTGGCCTTCCAGGATAGGAGGGGAGTGGGGAGCATGGATTAGGGGGGGGTGTTGGGTGTAGTTTAAAGACCTGGGTTTCCCTTGAAATCTTACACTCAGCCATGTGACCTTGAACCCTGGCATAGTGTACTGACTCTGAACACGGGTGGCAGTGGAGCTGAGGACTCTGTTGCAGACAGAACCTTGCGTCCAAGGCTGGGGAGCCCCTGAGTCTGGGTCCCACACCTGCTCCCCCATGGTGTTCTAGGAGCACAGTCTATGGCAGGCTCTACCTTAGGTCTACCTTAGGATGGCAGCTCTAGGGAGCATTTGGTGGCCATCCTGACTGGACGGCAGCATAGAGCCCAAGCAGCGGTAGTTAGCAGTCACGTCTCCTTTCCCCTCTGTGGTCTTTTCCTGACCTTCCCGACCGCCTCAGGCTCTGAGTGCTTGGCTATGTTTAGCTCTGGAGTGCATGTGAGGAACTCTTGAGAACAACCATCCTGAGTGTCCCCTGGGCCTCTTGTGTCAGTTTAGGACATACCCATGGTCCCAGTTGGTTGTTTGCTCTGAAGGCTGGGGTGAGGATCATGAAATCAGAAGATAACAGGTCTGAACCGGTTCAAGACCGCTGTCTGAGCGCTTACAGGCTTTGGCAGCCCATCTGTGAAGTGGGTTGCAGCCGCCCTGATCTCACGGGGTCAGCTAGGACATCGTGACCAGGAAATACTTTGCATGGCTCTGGGCACTTGGTTCCTGATAAATGCCAGAGCAGAGGGCTGGGGTGGTGGGGAGCGGCCACTCGGTACTTCATCTTTATGAGCTGTTGCCAAGCCTGAGAGAGGCAGCCAGGCCTTGCTAAGTCTCCTGTCACCCTCACGATCTACCTAGAACTGGCCACCAATCAGGATGTGGGTATCATGGCTCAAGACCTGGCATTTTAAGGTGATACCTGAGAAGCCCTGGGCTCTTGAGATATCCAGTCATGTCACTCGTGTCTGAAGTATAGTGGGGTTGGCAGACATTGCTTCCAATTCCCCCCTTTTTTTTTTTTCTCGATACAAGGTTCCTCTGTATAGCCCTGGCTGTCCTGGAACTCACTCTGTAGACCAGACTGGCCTCGAACTCAGAAATCTGCCTGCCTCTGCCTCTCAAGTGCTGGGATTAAAGACGTGTGCCACCACCGCCCAGCCCAATTCCCTTCTTAAGAGATGAGAAACTGAGGCTTAGAGAAGTCACTTGTTCAGTGCATCCCACTAGGGAGAGACCAGTTAGGTCCCATGCCCGGTGCCCTTCTGCCCCAAGGCTTTGCCATCTAGATCTTGCCATGATGTTTTGTGTTTACTTTGGTACAGCTTCAGAGTGGGAGTCTCCTGGCCCCACTCCTGGCTTGGCCTAACTGACTTCTACGTCCTCTGTTGCTTACAGTTCTGTTCCATATGTATGACTCGGACAGCGATGGCCGCATCACTCTGGAAGAGTATCGAAATGTAAAGTATGCTCTCTTGGCCCTGCCTGGGGCTCCTGGCGTCTCCCCCTTCTCGGACTGCCGAGTCCCAAGGTCACCAAGTGTCTGCCCCACTGGCAGGTGGTGGAGGAGCTGCTCTCTGGAAACCCTCACATTGAGAAGGAGTCAGCTCGGTCCATTGCAGACGGGGCCATGATGGAAGCCGCCAGCGTGTGCGTGGGGCAGATGGTGAGAGCCCCTTGGGGTAGAGGGAGGGAAGGAAGGGTGGCCAGCAGGAGTTCACCGGCAGATACCCCATTCCACGGCTCCACAATACCTTCCCTATGGCTGGAGTCTGTGCTTCTTGAAGGTCTCAGTGGCAGGAGCCGGGTGTCCCTCCGGTTCTCACCAGAGCCCGGCATGGAGGGGGGGGCCATAACCAGTGCAGGTTCCTCTGCCTCCGGGAGACTGCAAGTCTGGAGATCTGTGTCATTTGGGAACCAGAGAGCAAGGCTTAAGGAGTGCCACTGTGGCCTTCCTTACCTGTCCTCACCCCCGAGGGCAGCACCCAACACACTATCCCCACGTGCGCTGTGTCCTGAGTGACGTGGAGGTGTTTTCGGGCCTGGACACTGGGGCCAGCACCTTTCGTTTGTGAAGACCATTGGTGTTGGGGGTGGGGCAGTTGAGGGACCGAGTTGAGAGGCTGCAGAACAGGGGATTGGCAATCTGTGTTCACCGTTTCATGGCTTCAGCCTCGTTCTTACCTCTGGGGAAACTGAGGCTCCGCTCTGAAGATTTCTCTGGAGCTTGTGATCTTTTCTGTGTGGGGTTGTAGCCCAGCAGCCCCTGGGGACCGATGACTAGGGTGGGTAGGTGGTCACCTCCGTGGACGGGGCGGGGCATCTGGCCTCCTTGCATCTGTATTGCCAACAGCTTCAGAGTGGAGGCAGCTCCATGCTGGAGCCTCTGCCCCCCCCCCCCCCGCCATGTCTCCTGCTTGTCACTGGGATCAGGTCCTTACTCCCTAGAGGTCATGGTGGCAGAACACAGCCCTCCTGGCTTGTATCTCTCTGGGCTTTTCTCTCAGAGAAGCAACTGGCCCCAGTTAAAAGAAAAATAAAAGCCACACTGTGCATGTGAACTGCCTTAGGGCCCTGACCCTGTGGAGAACGGAGCTCCCCTGTAACTGTGGAGCCAAACATCCATTTGGCTTAATTATACTCTTCTTGCTAAATGACTCCCAGCCCGCTTCACTTTCAACTGCCGACTTTTCTTAATCTGCTGTAGTAAAATTGTTGGCAGCTGGTGCCTGCTGATTTATATCAAATCTGCCCTGTCACAGAAGTGGTAGCGTCCCAAGTGCAGAGGGGACAGAGCCACCAGGGAGCCTGGCATGTGTGTCTACCTGTGGAACACACACTGCGTATCCACCAGATCAACACAGACCCCACTCTGGCCGGGGCTGAGCTATGGGTCAGGGCAGCCACTGGCTTCCGATGTTGGTTAAATGCTTCTGACCACACCAACTCACCAGAGAGCCACCCACCTTCTCTCTTTTGATGCTGTTCCAAAGCCACTTATTGACTTGGGCGGGGACACTCTTAAGTACCATCTTTTAGGTCCTGTCTGTACAGGGGATCTTGGCGGATGAGGGTGGGGCTGCTGGCCTAGGCTTCATCCTGGGCTCCCCAACTCCTGGCCTTCTGTCCTTAGCAGCACCGCCCTCCTGTTCCACTCCTCACAGTGGGGCCCGAGTCTATAATTAGCTCCCCTCACCCAGCCTGGGAGCCTGGTGCCCTGGAGAGGGAGGGACAGAGGAGAAACCCTGGGGACAGGGCAGGCCCAGGCCAGCGGAAAACTGGGGGTTTTATGAAATGTTTTAAGAAACAAAGAAATATTAAAGGGGCATTGACCCTTACCCCCAAGAGCAACCGGGAGAGGGTGAAAGGTCACTCCTTCTCCATGCCCAGTCTAGGCCCTGCCCTGTGGAACCACCTTCGGGGTCTTTTTCTACAGCACCATCGGACACACACGTGTGTCTTTGCTGTTCTGTTGTGTCCAGTCACTTGCATTTCGGGGAACGGAGGGGTGGTAGTCTGGGTTTTGAACTCAGTGCCCAGTACATGCTAAGCTCAGGCTGTACCACTGAGCTCTAGTCTAGCCTGACTCCAATCAGCCTTGACTGGACATGGTCTTCTTTCCTCTTGGCAGAGGCATGTGTCCAGTGGGTGGGTGATATTTCTACAAGCATGTTTGGGAACTGCAGGCACTCACTCCTTGTGGGTCTCCTGTTCTTGGCTCTGTGGACATCTCAGAGCCTTTCCACACTGAGAAGAGGCTAGCCCCCTCGATAGCCACGAAGGGTAGAATCCAGGAGGACTCTGGGCAGTGCAGGGAACCCTCTGAGTACCCAGAAGGGACCTTTGGAGCCTTGCACTGCTGGTCACTGCCACAGCGAGCTGCTGGGTGAACTGTTTTTGAAGACTCGTTCAGCAGTGTGTGCACGGAGCCCTGGTGACATCCCCTCTGTCCCTCTGGTAGGAAGGATACAGCTGGAGACTTGCTGTTCCCTGGTTATCATAGTGACTCATGGGCACGAGGGTGGCCACAGAAGGCCCTCCATGCCCTTCCCTTTACCCTAGTGGGCTGTGAGCATAGATTAGCTCAGAATAGTTGTGTTATCAGTACAGGGAACAGAGGCAGGACCCAGACTGGCAGGATGTATCTTGGTGGATAGGTTTCTGGGGACAGGGTGACGTGGGCTGTATTGGGAAGGAAAGTCCATGCCCAGAGGTCCCACTGTTTCTTCCCCTGACCGTCCTGGGGGAGTTTGGTGGGATAAAACCTGTGCCTCTGTTGGGAGTTTGAAGAAACTGGCCTTGACAAAAAACGAATGACCTAGCCTCAACTCTACCTCAAAAAGGCTACCTCTGTGCTCTGGGTGTTGGGAGGAGGTGGACTGTCTCAGAAGAGCCCGGCAGACCCCTCTGGCCACTCATTGACTACAATCTTGTCCTCAGGAACCGGACCAGGTGTATGAGGGGATCACCTTTGAGGACTTCCTGAAGGTAGGTTCCAGAGGGGAAAGATGGGGGCTCCGGGCCACCATGAGGAGCTGTGGCTCTTTGCAGATCCCAAGTGCCCACCAGGGCTGTTCTCTAGGAAGGCCTTGCAAGCCACATTGACTGACGTGCTTGGCTTTGTGGAAAGGGCGGTGTTGCTGTGTGGTCTGTGACTTAAGTGGCACATGGGTTGATGGGAGAAGTGAATTTTTTTCTCTCTCTTGGGACCCTGGCAATCCTTCCTGGGAGCAGCTGCTTTTTCACAGCAGAGCAGAGATTCTAGAATATTCTGAAAACTTCCTGCACAGGGACAAACCACCAGCGTTCTGCAGACTGGAGCAGGTGGCATGTTGCCGAGTTCTGCTGGGATTCATGAGTGGCTATCCACTCGCCTGTTTCCCCCCCCCCCCCCGCGTAATGCGCCTGCAGGCAATCTGGTGGATAGTGGTTACTGTCGCACGTGCGCGTGCGCACACACACACACACACATATACACACTTTCTCTCTCTCTCTCTCTCGGGCTGGAAGTTAAGACTGGCTGCTGGCTGCTGGCTGCTGCACTGACCAAGGTATCCGGAAGCAGAAAGAAGAAAATGCCAAAGTCATGTCTCCGAGCCCTTCTAGGGATAGAAGTCAGGATGTAGGAAGACCTAGGAACCTCCCAGTCCAGCCTCCCAGCCTGCAGGCCTCACTAAGGCCTGTGCATGGAGGGAACCTGGGGCCTCTAGGGTTCATTGGCAGAGCCTCTGCCTACCAGATGGATTCTGGCTACAGGCAGGCAAGCAGCACAGCCCCAGCCTCTCAGGGGAGGAGGCAGAGGTCAGCTGCTGACCCTATCCCATGACAGGCCCACCCCGGGCTGCACAGGGCATATAGAGGGGGAAGACAGGAGCTATTACTGTACAGATCTGCTTGGGCATGACTGGGACCTGTTCATGTAAGAACACGATGCAGGACGCCAGGGCAGCAGGAGCATCAAGAAGAGGCGCAGTCGCCTTGAGCATGTCCTGGTTGCACACAAGTACAATGTTTGTCCAGGAGGTTGAGGCAGGGGCATCTTGAGTTCAAAGCCAGCCTGGGCTAGAGTAAGACTCTTGTGACAAACCAACCCTGCTGTTTTCCCCGGGGTTCTTCAGAAGCTAGCTCCTTACGTTGTCCCTTTTGGTGCCCCCCCCCCCCCCCAGTGTCTGTGCTCTCCCAGAACTTGACTGAATCATCATGGAGCCCAGGATCTTTCTCTGAGAACATCTCGAACTCGAACTCCCAGTAGTTGGGGCTGTTCTTTGTGAAGTGGAAATATTTCTGTGTCCCTACAGGACCAGGCAGGGGCCAGCGGGAAGTCTAGCTCCGAGGCCTGCCTCACCCTGGGAAGCTTAGGGGGGCATCTCTGTAGATGCTGAGTGACAGCCTTCAGTGTGGTACCTGCTGTCCCTGCTCTTATCCTGGCTCCCTACTTGAAACCCCTGACTTGCTCATAGCCAAAGTACTGGAGAGAGGGTGATCTTGGGAGGGACAAGGTCTTGTCCTGCAGGCCAATGGCCTCATGACCTGAATGTCCAAGCCCTAACTGTCTAGGGTTGAAAGTCTACAGCAGTATCACTGAGCATAAGTTTGAAGCAGGTGACTTCTTATCCCACCAAGGTTATGGTGACCAAGCTGGCAGGTCATTTAATGATAGCTGTCTAGTGACACCTGCCATGTAACAGCCCCTAGGTGCTGACGCAGTGCTCTGCTGACCCCAGTCTGAGTCTGAAAAGTGGGCAGCATGGCGAGGCCACTCTGGAATTGGACTGGGGAAAAGGAGGCTGGAACTCTCAAGAGGCCATTGGGGTGGGCGGAGGACTGGATCATGGAGCCCACTGAGCCCTTGCTTGGATTCAGGACTTCATCCTAACTCCACAGTGACTATCTCGGCAAGAGCCTGAAGGTCAGAGTGAGAGGAACCAGCAGACACACGGACTCCTTCCTCATGTAGCTTGGCCTTGAACCCATCCTGCTTCTTAGGAGCAGACAGTGGCTCAGTCAGCGGCAGGGCAGTGAGTGGGTGGGCAGGCCAAGGACCTAGCTCAGGTGGGCATCTGGCAGTGGTGGGGATGCCTGCTGATGCCACTCCCTCCATTCCAGATCTGGCAGGGCATTGACATCGAGACCAAGATGCACATCCGCTTCCTCAACATGGAGACCATCGCCCTCTGCCACTGACCTGCTGCCGCTGACTATGCAAGGGAGGGGGTGGCTGGAAGCTGGGGGGTGGCCGAGGACCGATGTTCAGCCCTTTGCCTGGGCTGCTGTGACAATCAGTAACTCTTTGGTTATCCTCCTTGTGGGGCATGGTGGGTGGGACTCCGATGTTTTTTTATCTCTAACAGTGACAATAAAGGTTTCCTAATGAGCCCGGCCATCCCCATCTGTCCCTCACATCCCTTAAAGGGACCTGGGCTTCTGTGACATAAGACTGATTCTGAGGAGCAGGCAGAGACTGGTGACATAGGCCTGTCCTGTCTGCTGGTCCTCATGTACCATCTGTTTCCTCCTTGAAGGAGACTGGGCATCCACCTGTGGTCTCCACGCAGGGGAAGCCAGGAAGAGTCTGTCAGGGCAGGCTTCCAGAAGACCTGGTGTGGAGGTAATGGGGTTTTCTCAGCATCATCGCGGCTGGCTGGCTGGCTGGCTGGCTGCTGACGACAGCTCCTAATGGAGGGTGCCTGCGGCTGGGGCTGCCACGGTTCCTCCTGACAGCATGGACCCAGATGTGAGCCCAGGACACTCCAGCCCCCAGCACAGGCAGCAGTGGGGACCGGAGGTGCCTACTGCAGGTAAGCAGCTCGTACAGCTCGGCTTGTCACTACTCATTTCAGGATGGGTGGGGTCGGGGCCCATAGAGCTGAAATAACTGTAGAGTCCCCCCACAGCCTGTGGCTGGCTGGTGTTTGCTCTCCAGGTCTCTCGAGTGTTGCTCTAGGATGCTTTTGTTCCTCTGTTGACACTGGGAGGTGCTTTTCTAGACTCCAGAAAGTTCTCTGGGTGACTGGCAACTGCTGCTGTTGGCACGCTTACTTAGACGTCTTGTTCTAAACACGTTTGATCTCATTTGTGTAGTCTGTCAACGGCCACATCATGGCTGGCTGGGTACCTGCAGCTGGGGCTCCCTAAGGCCCAGAGGGCAGTCATGATGTAACTCCACTCCATCCTCTGCTGTCTCCAGTTGTTTGCCATGCATGTGCAGGTCGATGTGGCTACACTTTTTTTTCTTTACATTTTATGTGAATCTGTGCATAGGAGTGCACGTTGGGCTAAAAGAGGGGACAAGATCCGTTGGAGCTGGAGTCAGAGGTGCTGGCTTGTTCTCTGGGTACCAAGAGCCAAACTCTGGTTCTCATAATTGTACAAGTGTTCTTAAACACTGAGCCATCCCTCCAGCCCCCTAATGTATACACTTTAAGTTGTTACTATCAGTGTGTGGCCATCGGTGTGCACATGCTATGCTGTGTGTGTGGAAGTCAGAGGACAACAGGTCCATTCTTGCCTTCTGCCACGTTGAGGCATTGAGGCAGGGGCTCTCTCAACATCTGTGTACTCAAGGCTTCTGGCAACTGTCCCGTCTCTGCCTCCCAACTCAACAGCTCTGCGATTACACATGTGGGCCACCACATCAGCTTTTTAATATGAAGACAAAAAAGTATATATATATACACCTTTGTTTGTACACAAGTGTGGGTGCCCCAAGCTGAGACTATCAGACCCCCTGGAGCGACCTGATGTGGGTGCTGGGAACTCATCTGTCTTTTTAGCCCTGCCCCCTTTTCCACATGGGTTCTGGGGATCAAACTCAAGCCATCCGGCTCTTGCACTGATGCTCTTACCTCCTAAGCCATCATGACAGCCTGACACATGCATCTTAGTTCTGGTGGTTTGGTGAAATCATGCTGTCTGCCATCAGTACAGCTCAGGGGACAGTGACTCATGCCTGAACAAACAATCCTGTTACCAGAACAGAGCGCATTGTTCTGGTCTCAGCAGAGACCCCTGCAGCCTTCTCTCTGCCTGTGGGTGCTTGTCATGACTGACGGCAGGCTCTGTCTCCATGGTGATGTGTGAGATTCAGTGGCTTCTTCTATGGATCCCTTCCATGCTGTCCTCCCCAAACAGGCTGTCTGGGGTAGTTCTGAGTGGTGGATGGGTCTTTTCATCAACAAGTGTTCTCCAGAACGTGCTCGAAGGGGGAAAGCTAACTTACTATATAAGAGAGCCCCGAGCTACTGCTGGGATGAGGTTCAAGCTAGTATGTCTTACTTAAAAGCAAAGCACGCTTTGCAGCCACTTATAGGGGTGTGCAGAGACTGCTCTGGGGATGTGTTAGGATGGACTGTGTGTGTTAGGATGTGCAGTGTGTGTGTGTACTCAAGAATGTGTGTATGTGTGTGAGGGTGCTAGATTAGTTACTATGTTGGACCCCAGAGGCAAGTGAGGAGCTGAAGGGTCTGCAGATGTTCTGAGCAAGCACTTGGCAGGCAGGGCTGGCCTGTGTTCGGCCTGTGTTGGATGCTGGCCCACAGGGCCACCCACCACCCGCTCTCCTGGACCGGTGAGGAGGGAGGTCGGAAGGAAGGCACTGCCAGGGCTGTGCTTCTGAATTCAGGCCTCAGTTTGGCAAAGGCCTCAGCAAAGCAGCCGGTAGGAGCAGATGCTGGGGCCCACCTCCCTGCTCAGAGCCAAGCAAACTGACAGCTCTGGGGAGAACCCCACAAAGGTGCCCCCCCCCCAACTTGGGGACTTCCTGGCTTCTGGGTTTCTACTGACTCTAGGGTCTAGAAAAGCAGTGGGTCAGCATGGAGACACAATGCAGAAAGTATCTGAAGCTTGGCTTCCTGGACTCCCCGATGCTCCCTGCCATGGTGAGGAGGGGGCGGGAGACTCTGGGCAGCCGTCACCTTGGCATCTCATGGGCCTGGGCTTCCTGAGACTCTCTCCCAGTTTGTTTCAGTTGTGTCCTTATCAACAAAGGCAGTTCATGAATGTAAAATGTTTTCATAAATAATGGATCACCTTCCCTTGAGCCTGGAGGTCTAGCCGGGAAGATGCTGAGATGGACTTGCATCAAGCGTGCTGGCTTGTGCTCCCCTTTGAGGGCCTGCTAATGTCTTTGAAGCTCTGGGCACAGCTAATCCAAACAGCTAATTAAAATGAGATTGACTCACTGGGAGCCCAGTCCTCCAGGCCCAGAAGCAAGCTCATTTGTTCACAATGGCTAGACCAGGCTGCAGTTTCACTGTAGAAATCTCCCAGCATGCTTTGCAGCAGGCAGGCAGGATAAGGACCATGAACTGTTGCAAACCTGCTCCCAAGCAGTACAGACTAATTCTCTTCTGGCCACCACGTGGGTCACATGAACTGCAGGGCAGGGAGTTAGCAGGTAGATTGTTTCTTGCAGGACTGTGGGTAGGTGGGTGATACTCCGCCCCTGTGCAGCCAGGCCTCCCATCCCTGTGTGACATGAGTCAGAAGAGATGCCTTCACCAGCAGTGTGAAGCAGGGTTTGTGCTAACATTTTGGGACAGGTAAGTACAGGCTCTCCATCCACCACACTGGCTAGTGACCTTCATCAGAGACTGGAGCTGACGAGGCGGTGCCGAAGGCTGCTGCTGAGGAGCTGAGGGCTGTGGGCAGAGCAGCAGGTGGCACCGGGGTCCCAGCACCTGGGTGGAGGGCAGGTATGCTCTCTCTAGTCTACAGCAAGTTGAAAAGCGGGATCTGCCCTATAGTCTGGTCCCGTTACCAACTGTTGTTTTAGAGACACTTCCTAACTTAAAATCCTCCTGAGTGGTGGGATGGCAAGTGGGGGTCACTATGCTCTCCTTCTAAAGCTGCCCCTCCCCCAGTTTGAGGCTAATGTTTAATCTGGTCTATTTCCCAGAGGGCTGTGTGATACAAACCTCAAAGAAATGGCTGGATGCATACATACCTGCAGCCTAGTGACACATAAACTATGGGTAAGAAACAGAGCAAGACCAGTGCAGCCTGCCAGTCTGACCCCTTGGCAAACCAGGTTCTTCGAGACTTGAACAAAACCACTGTTAGGCTCTGGTTCATATTCCTGTGTGCTGTGCTAAATGGGAGAGGGCAGGCCCTGAGGTCTGACCCTGGATCCTGCAGTTGACCAGACCACGTTCCACTGTGCTGGAAGAGGCCCAAGCTGGGAAGAGGAGAGCCAGAAAGAAATGCAGGTCTCCTTGAGGTTTGGCAAACACCTACCATAAAGGCTGTCCTTGTATGCTGTGACCTTAAGGGAGCCAGTGCCGGAACCAGGCCACTCCCAATGGCATCAGTGGCACCTTTGTCTTTACCATGAGCTGGACAAATGCCAATGGGGCTTGGGACAGGAACATGGCCACAGGAGGGCTCAAAACTGGCTAGGGCAGGGTGGCAACACAGTGATGCCAAGCCAGCAAGGGAGAGGGTTGTCCTTAGGGAAAGTGTGAGAGGCAGCACGTTTGTCCTGGGAAGGGCAGCTGCCACAGTAGAGGCTCAGCTGGGCACATGCTGGAGCTGCTCTCCTGTTCCAGGGAGAAGTTCCCTAGTGCACAGCAGTAGGCAGCATTGGAGGCTGGGCGCAGGCTGCTGCCCAGGAGGGGCTCTGCTACCTCACACATGGGCAGTGGTGGCCAAGTCGCCGCAGGCCTGCCGCAGTAGCCAGGTAACCATCTGCCTTGGCTGCGTGGCCACAATGCCACGGCCTGTGCCATCTGCTGCTTCAAGCAAGAGCTCATGGGTAGTGGTGTCTCCATCTGAGCCACTGTCATGGGGCAGTCATCACCTGAAACCCCTCACCAGGGGAGACTGTTCTGAACTCCAAGCAACTAGCTTGTGGTGTTGCCCTGTAACAAGTGGACTGGGGCATGCTACCCTCATAGAGGATGGGTACCAAGTGCTTTGTCCTTGGCTGCTGGCTTCCCCATTTAGGAAGAACTCAAAGTGGCCCTGCTGGGGAACGTTGGTAATTCTGTTGCTCAGCTGAAAACCACACAGGACCCTAGAGAATGTTCCCATGGGAACGCTGTCTGAGCTTGAGAAACATGCCACCCGCACAGAGCGACAGTGCAGTCTGTATGCACGTCATGTTACCCTGCACCCGAGCTGTGGGATACACCGGGGCTGCAGGTGGTGGAGGAGACGTCCAGGAGCAGCAAACAAGGCCGTAAGTCCAGAACCTTTAATAATAAGAACAGACGTGGTTGCTTAAGGCAAAAGGCAAGCTGCAGATGTGTGGCCACCTCTGGCTCCCAGGGGCGTGTCCTGGCAGAGGCAGCACAGGGAGCTAACGGAGACCGCCTGTCCCCCACCTGTGAGCAGGTGCAGTGGCAGCAACCTGAGGAGCCAGTGTGGACAGAGCTGATGCTCCGTGCGGGAGGGGCATCTTCCAGGAGGCTGACCGCAGACCAGCTCGGGAGCTTTTTCTAACAGGGGCAGGAGCTGGGGCCTAGGAGGGCATGTATGCTTGAAACTACTCTAGTCACCTCTGCATCTGCTCTTAAAGCTCTTCAGTGGCCTGCCTTCCATGGCTGTGAAGCCCAGAAGGGAGCTGACTGCACAACCAATTTCCCTGACAAGTTTCTCCAGTGGACAGCTCCAGGACTGGGAAGTGAAGATGTAGCAAGACCAGGCCAGCAGGGGGCGCAGCTCAGAAAGAAGGAGGTGAGCTGTCCTGGGCACTCTCAAGTGCTGCGGAAGGGTTCTGCTAGGGAGAGGCCACAGCCTCAGCTGGCTCTGTGTCCGGTGCAGTGGACTGTGGATGTCTGAGGCCTCAATGTCGTAGTCTGAGATCATGCCACAAAACTACACATTGGTTGGAAGTGTGACTCAGTGGCAGCACTTGCCAAGCACGGATGTGAGGCCTCAGACTACTTCATCCCAGTACTGGCCACAAGAGCAGGCCATGAGGCATAGTGAGCTCTGGCTCTAGGCAGTGCTCCAGGTGAGGGCTGTCACCCCTTCCCTCTGAGAGCCCCTTCCCTCTGAGGCTGCACACCCTCTCAGGCCCTCCTGCACCGTTGTTTCCAACTTGGGTTCCACCTCATGAAGCTCCACCTCAACCCCCTTTCTGCTCTCTGCAGACCCAATGTAGAGTTTTTTAGCCCATTTGTTTTTTAGCTGGTATTCGCTGGGAGAGGGACTCTGCCTCCTGAGACCTGGTGGCCTTTGTCCAGGCGTGTTAGGTGCCTGGTCTGTGGGGATTTTGGAGAGCTCTGACTGGGTCTCCTGGCCACTGTGTGTGGATTGCCCGTGACACTCTGAAGCCAGAGTGGGTGAGCTATGGCGGCTGCAGTGTTTGTCAAGTGCACTGCAGCTGCTGAGGGAAGAAATGCCACCAGCCAGGCTCGGAAACTAACCCAATCCCATCCCTGTGGAATGGCCCTTTCCCTCTGCAGGGAAGGATGGCTGTCTCCTTCACAGCACATGTACAGGACAGAGCAAGCGAGGCAGAACACTCCTTACACAGGTAAGGGCGGCTCTATAATTATGAACAGTGGGGTCAGAAGCCCACCGTGAGCTGGGGAAGCAGGCTGGAGGCTGAACGCTTGCCTGCATCTGTGAGGCCCTCAGCACCACACCCAGGAGACAGGCCAGTGGGAGTGAAGGCCACATGGCCCTGGCCTGTAGAACGAGGGAGGGTGTCACTGCTGCCACAGGCTGAGGGGGAGGGGCCACCCCTGAAAAGGTTAACTGAGTCATCAGCCAGTCCTACCACAGCCCTAAGGAGGAGGAGGAGGAGGAAAAGGAGGAAAGCAGCAATGGACTCCGGGGTCTGTACAGGGGCTGCACAGGGCAACAGGGCTGTGTGACCACAGGCACGCAGAGCACTGTCCCCAGATGTCCACTATGTGCTGCAGAGCCTTGTTCCAGCTCTAAGATTTGTAAAACCGCCCTTTCCGTCTACATGAGGTGACACTCTAAATATTGTCATGGGGGAAAGACAGTGCGATGTCATAGCTGTATCCAGCCGTGGTGTTACGGGGTAAGCGGCAGATAGGAAGGGGACTCTGAAAGGCCAGCTGGTCCACAGCAAATTCATAGGCATGGATCAGGCCGCGATGTCTAGAGGAAGCAGAGAAAAGCACCAGTTACCAAGGCTGCTGTGGAAGAGACAGATGCAGAGTCTAGGCTGGCTCTCCAGTGTGATCACGTGCTCTGAGGCCATAGTCTGTCAGATATGCAGACCCCAGGGCTGAGGGGAGTAGGGAGCCCCAAAAGACAGTGTTTATGAAGAAGCATCTGAAGGGACCTCAGCACAGAGAGTCTGCCTGTCAACTGACATTGTGTCTCTGCTGTCCCTAACGGCAGGAGCAGCTGCACAACACTGCATGCACAACACTGCAGACAGACAGACACTCGGTGTGTGCTCCTGCTACAGCTGGTCCCCGGAGAGGATGACATGACCAGGCTGAGCAGGAAGCACGGAGCCCCGGCTCACTCAGATGTGTGCCCAGCCCGCACTGACCTCCTGTGACAGGCGAAGTTGTCGAGGTCGGAGTTCCGAAGCACCTTCTCGTAGGGCACGTTGGCGGTGATCAGGCTGTGGCTATTGAAGGAGATGTAGCGCACAGGGTGCCTGCGGGAGGGGAGAGCACTGTGAGGCAGGAGCAGCCTTCCCCGGCTGTATGCAGCAGAGCCCTCTAGGCACTTTCCACTATGGAGAAGGAACTGGCCCAAGCGTTGGCAGCTCCCAGAGCAGGCGGGAGCAAGGCCTCCTTCTCTGGCACCATGCCATTTTTACAAACACACTTCTAACCTCCTCACGTCCCAGCTGACTGCTTCAACAAGCTGGTGTATTTGGTACATAAGAATATTCAACTGAGACAAACCTACAACAGGGCCCAGAGACCCCACAAGCCACATGGGCGAGTTCTTATCCTCGGGGTGAGGCCTCAGTCCCGAGTGATGGCTACCGCTGACAGCCCCTGTACCTGGAAGGCTCCAAACCAGTGGGAGTAAGGAGCCCCCCTCAGCCAGGAAGAAGAATACCACAGCACACCAAGTGGGGCTAGCTGAGGCCACTAGGAAGGAGGAGGAGGCCTGTAGCAAGAACAAGCCTTTTGGCAAAAGGACATGAAGGAGAGGTGGCTGGTGAGGGAAGGCAGGCTGGTGGTCAGGCAGCAGCTGCATTAGACGGAGCTTGGGACAGGCCCAGGGTGCCTACAGAGAGAAGGCCTTAGCAGGAGTGCCCTGGGCTGAAGAGCAGGGACCTCACTTCCCTGGTTTCCCCTGGGTGGTGAGAAGGTGTGAGCATTGCAGAGGCCCAGAAAGGCTGGTGCTGTCCTGGACCCACAGAGAACCAACTACAAGTGCTGGCTTTCCTGAAGTTCAGGCAAATGCTGTTTGCAATGTGGGACTTTTGAACTGCCTTTTGGCACCACCTGGTGGCACCATGGTGTATCACCGGTGAAGTTGGAGAAGGGCAAGGCCAGAGGTAGTGTGGTAAGACCAGGGGTTCTGATCTGATAAAGCTGCTAGCCAAAGAATTCACCACCCTGCAGGCCAAAAAAAAAAAAAAAAAAAACCAAAGCGACTTTACTTCGCACCTTTGGGAGTGTTTGTGAAGCTACAGACCCTGCACTTAAACGAAGGCAGAGCTGTCTTGGTTGTGTATCTGGGGAAAGGGCTCTGTCTATGTTATGTTCTCCAGCCGGGCAGTTACAGCGTCACACCCTCTTGTTATGGAGGAGCCAGTGTTCAGCTAGAGGACTCCGGGCAGGCTCTGCCACTGAAGGCATAGGAGCCAGCTGGGAACTCCAGGCAGACTCACACAAACAATTTCACCGTAGGGCTCCAGTCCTAGAAGGCCCTGGCCTGTGCCCAGAACAGGATTCTCCTCTCAACACTCCTGCTCGAGCTGAGGTGAGCTCCCCTTAGCTGAGGCTCATGCAACTCACACCCCAAGTGCCCTTCTTCATACTGAAGGGAGGCAGGAGCCACACTTGGACACACTGCGTCTGGCACATGCACACTGGAAATTAGTCTCCTCAAGCAGGCCTCTTCCTGGTAACTAAGATGACGGGATTCACACGGTACCTGCACCACAGCTGTGAAGTTCCCTATATCTAAGAGGCCAGGATGCTCAATGAGGGCTGTGTGTCACTGGAGGACAGAGGAGCTCAGGTCTCTGGATTGGTGTCTTCCCAAGCCTAGGTCACCTCTCCTGCATAAAGTGCTCTCGGGAAGGTGCAGTGACCTTCCTGAAGGTCACTTCCTGCGCAGTGAGGGTGCAGGCAGCCTGGGAACCACAGTCTATGCAGGAACCAGCTTACCTGGAGTGCACCTCCCACAGCTTCTGGTTCATGCGGTAATCCCACACAGACACCAGCCCCTCCTCGCCTCCACTGATGATCTTCCAGTCATCCATCTGGACTGCGGACACGCCCAGCTGGTGGGCAGACAGTGACAGGGCGATCTTATCGCTGCGGAGGTCATGGATTCGTACTCTGGAAGAAGAGCACCAGGAGAAGAGGGGTAACTGAGGAGGCCTGCAAGTACCAGTACCACAGTTCCTAGAGCGCTCTGGTGGGAGTCTCCCATGGGGAGTCACCTGGAATACAGAGCAGCCTTGTCTTGTGATCAGAAACAAATCTGCCAAAAAGTCAGGCGAGGCAGAAGCCAGCATGTGCTGTCCCAGACTCCACCTCCACGCAAGCTGCTTCCAGGGCCTGGGATGACTTTAACCTGGAGATTACGCCTTACTCACCCGCCAGGCCCTGAGCGCATCATGGGAACTAGCTTGTTAGTGTGTAGGCATCAGGCACAAGGATGGGTGTTGTAGTTCTGAGCCACAAGAGTTGGATTACAGAGCAAATGTTACCAAAAGTTTGGTAAACTTGCCCTTGGGGAGCAGGAGCCAATGCTATGGAGAGCTAACTTCCTTTTTACAGACAGGCTGTTTTATGAATTTTATAACTCCATTTCTTCCCTGAGTCTCTAGATATGCCCAGTTTTTTTGTTTGAGGGTTTTTCATTTTTTTTTTTTTTTAGTTCAATTTCCACAATTCAAAACTTTGATAAGTAACTTTTTAGGAAAACACAGACAAACTAAACAGCTTAAACAATAAGAACCAACAGTCAGTCCCTGCACAGAGTAAGTACCAGGCATGGGCAGCATCTCAGGAGCAGCCCTGCCGCCATGCCCCAAGAAAGGTAGGTTGTTACCATCAGGCAGACAGCAGGACCAGAGGAAGCCCCCTGGAGACTAGTCAAGCTTTCACACACTGTACAGAAGAGAACTGCAATCAGCTCCATGGGGCTGAAGCAAGCCCCTGGGTCTAACAGGATTCCTCCCAACAGCCAGGCACTGTCAGCACTGCTTCTGCCCACTGTGATCAAAAAGGATACCAGATTTAAGAGAAACAGCAATTTGTCAATATTAATATGTCCAAATCAACAATTACATTTAAAATTATGTTTGTCTGCAAAAAAAAACAGGGGAGGCTATCAGATCCTCAGGACCTGGAGTTAGAGTTGTGAGCTGCCGTGTGGGTGCTGGGGGTTTGATCTGGGCCTGTGCTCTTAACTGAGGAGCCCCACCAGCTCCTGTCTGTATAGACGACCACTAATCGTAAGAAACATCAAAGGGATGGAGAGGTGGATCTGCAGTTAGAAACGTGGATTGCTCTTGGAAAGGATCCGAGTTCGGTTCCAGTACCCACATGAGGCAGACCACGAATATTGGAACTGCAGCTCCTGGGATCCAGATGCCCTCTGCTGATCTACCTAGGTACCATCTGACCTCAAATGGGTTTTTAGTTTTATGATAGCAGTCAGTGTATGCTGTTTTCTCAACTTGGAGCAAGTTACATATAATACCAGGTATCTGAGAGGCTGAAGCAGGAGGATGGCAAGTTCCAGGTCCCCCTCAACAGCTTTAATCACATTCTGTGTCAAATAAACGTGTCTGTGATATAGTGTGGTGGTAGAGCTCCTGCCTAACAAGGGGAGCTTTCTGGGTCACTCAGAAAGCTGAAGCATGGGGACTGCTGAGAGTTTGAGGCTAGCCTATGCTACATAGCAAGACCTTGTTTCAAATAAAGAAAAGCCCACAAGTACGTTAGATGATGACAGTGAGTCTGCAGCAGTTCCTTCCTAACAGGCCCCTCCAGGTTACAGTGAGGACCCCACACGGGAATGCCTTGGCACAGCACACCCCGTTACCCTACAGGGCAATATAAAAGCAAACGCTGTGACGCTCCTCAGACTCTGGCCTGTGGCGAGGTGCATGACTACTGCACACACAAACCCTCTGCAGGGACTCGGCTCGAGCCCTCCAGTGTGAGGCCCAGGCTGGGATGGCTTAGAAGGCGCTGCTGCTGGGTGTTTCTCAAGTGGGTAAGAGGAGTCCGGCTCCAGCATGCACCCCTTTCTCCTGACTGCAGATGCAGTGCGATCACAGCCTCACACGCCAGCTACCATGACTCCCACCCTGACGGACCAACCATACCTTCAGTGACTCATACGCTAAGGGAAACTCGGAGCTTGCCTGCCTGCCTGCTGTAGTCAGGCTGTCAGCCATAGGGCTGCATCAGCAGCACCAGACAGCCACAGAGCCTCTGTGTCAGAGGCCTGGGCAGCCATCTATCACACACCACTATCCCCCTGCCCTGCAGGACTGTAAATCGTTTAGACTCAGAGCTGGGTGGCTGTGGCCCTCAATTCCCAGGGCAGGGGCAGTGAGGCGCCATGAACACCTCAACTCCTGCTCATAAACAGCCATCCATCTCCCAGACTGAAGACACCGACCCTCAACATGAACTTCATGAGAAGGCAAGAAGGATGCCAGTGTGGACAGCAGCAAGGGGGGTGGGGCGTGGAGGGCAGGGGCATCACACTGAAAGGAGGTCCGGGTGCCGCCCTGGGTTAGTGCTAGAGAACACTGGTCAGAATAAAACACATACTGCAGAATACCATTTTAAAAATGGGAGCACACAGGAAGTGTTCTGCAGCCTGAGGGAGAAGGAATCACCAGTTCAGGAATGATCGTTAGGCTGACAGGGAAATTAGAGGCACCATTAAAGAGCATGAATGTGAATGACCGAATGGGGTGGTTGTTCAGGCAACCACAGGACAGGAGCTGCTCAGCTGTGACACTGATCACGGAGCAGGGTCAGCGGTGAGGCCTTGGAAGTGGGCAGGTCTATGTGGGGACAGGCGGCCGTCACAAGGCTGCACAGAGGCCGCCGCACTGGCTTCTGGGTGCAGAGCACAGTTCACAAGGTCAATGCTACCGGCGGTTCCTCGGGAGGGAATGTAGCCAGAGCCCTAAGAGAGGTGTTTACTTTACTCAAAGTTCTACCATGCTGTTTAAAAGTGAGGCCTCAGAGGACGTTGGCTTCGCCCTGGTATGCATCCAGCCGCACCCAGCCGATTTGTTTCAGACCGTGTCTGGTCTCATGGGCACTATGAAGTAGGTGTAATGTGGAACTATGGAAGCCGGGGTCCAGCACCAGGGAGATGAAGGCAGGAGGGCCAAGAGTTCAAGGTCGTTCTTGGCTATGAGGCTACATCAACAAAAGCTCAAGATCAGCCTGGTTATAAGACTGCCTGCTGTAAAAGCACACCAACAACAGAACAACAGACGACCACAGTCCTGGGGTGCAGAACGGAGGTCACACAGCAAGATGGGACTGTAGACTCACTCCTAGCCTCACTCCAGTGACACACACAACTGCCTGGCTTCAGGCCTCCATAGGTAGGGGGAGGGAGCAGAAAGGGTGGAGCACTTCCCCACACATGCTAGTTCATGAGAACTACCAGGGCCCCTCCCTCTATGAGTGCGCACTGTGTGGCTGTTAAGAGTCTAGGGCAAGCTCCTGTGGTCCACAGTTCAGAGCTTGCTGTCTGTCCCTCTGCTGTGTTTACAGCAGTTCGACGGCGCCAAACAAGACAACACACACAGAGACACCGCGGCTCAGGTCTGCTAAGGACTCAGAAACCGGCCCACACAGTGGAACCCAGTTTTGAGACATCTGGCTTGTTTCAGACAGAACTGCACATGCTGCAGTGTCCTGTCCATTCAAACCATCACATTCACAGAAGAAGCAGGTATCGGCCCAGATCATCTGACAGTGCAGTACCAACCACACTGCAGCAGCTCTGGCAGAGCCGGCAGCCTCAGCACCCAAACCACACACTCCACACTGGGAGACAGGTAGCCCAGAAAATGGGCAGAGACACATGCCAAGCCCACCAATTCCAGGGACAAGAAGGGGCCAATGGTAGAAACTGTGAATCCTCATCTAGTGAGTATCACCACTTTGCCTGCTGAAAGAAAAGAATTGGTCTGAAAGCTGTAATTGTCCTATGTTTACTATCCATGGAAGGGCTTGGAGGACAGCCCCAACACTGCCTCTCTGCAGCCCTTGCTAATGAAAACCGAACCACAGGAGGCAGCTTTAGCCCGCCAATTAAAACAAAAGACACCAGAACCTTCCAAAGACTCCAGCAGAGGAGCATCCATCTGATGGGCAGGAAAACGTGCTGGAACGGAGAGGGAGGCACGCTCCGGTCGGTCCTGTGCGAAGAGCTTTGAATAACTCATTATAACACTTGCAGATGGAGTGAGTGTAATGTTCGCGCCCTGCACGCGCCCTGGCAGCAGGCAGCACACATGAGCACACCACAACTTTCTGTGTGCTGGGCTGGAAGGAAGCGAGAAGACTCTTTAATTGGGGGGTCACACCTTGGGGCGTGCTTCCTATTGGTTTGGACTCAACAGTCCTGCATGATAACAAGGCAGACTGTGGAGGCAAAGTTGGCAGGGTTCAGACTCTGGGTTGGCTGTTCTTCAGGAAGAATCTACACATGGCTGCATTTCTATCCAGGAACTAAAGGTAAATGTACGGAAATGTAAAATTATGACTACATCAGTTGGGAAAACTGCTATTTTTAAGGGGTTAGCGTGCACTTCCGTCTGACCATGCTGTACCTGAGCTGTGGAGGAGGCTGCACACAGGTGTATGTGCAGAGTTCACACCTCACCCACACAGCACCGACAGCCTCCCAGGAAGGTTCAAGTTCATAGCAACCAAAACACGAACCCCTTGTGTGTGCAGGCGGACGTTACAGATAGTTTACAGATGTCCACTCTGTCCAGCCGGGCTAAGCTTAGCATGCTCTGTGCTAAGCAGCCATCCCTGGGGGGTCATCCTGAAGCCCTTAGCACCTGACTGCTCAGAGACTCTACTAAAGCCCAAACTCTGTGGCTCATGAAAAGCCAGCCTGGGACACTGCCCAGGACAGCACTGCTGGTAGCCAAAGTCGCAGAGCTAGAAGCAGGAAAGCTTTAAGCTTGTAGTTTGCATTTTAAGTCCACACATGAGGCTCAGCAAGCAAGGGCAATGCCTGCAGCAGCCTAGTGACCTGAGTTTCGTCTCTAGAAAGTTGGTAACGGTGGAAGGAGAGAGCCAACTCCGTGGTTGTCCTCAGACCCCAAATGCACACTGTGGCCATGCACCCCGTCATCATGCATACACACAATACAGTTAAAAATATTAAATTTAAAATCATCACAGACAGTTTGCATTCTATGTTGCACATTTTTGTCTTGTTCTTTTTAAGATTTTATTTTGATTGTATGTCTGTGTGCATTATGTGCACGTGCAAGTGCAGGTGCCTGAAGAGGCCAGAGCGGGGCATCTGGTCCCCTGAGATGAGTTCCAGGCAGTTGTGAGAGCCTGATGTGGCTGCTGAGAATCAGGCTGAGGGCCTCTGAAAGGGTAGTGCCTGCTCTGAACAGCTGGGCCACCTCTCCAGCCTGCTCTCACAGAGAGCCTCACTGTACAGTCTGCTGTCCTGAGACCTCCAGGTGTTGACTCTCATTCCCAACCCTCCATCCACAGCGAGAACACAGCAAGGCTGGCTCTGGACGGTAGCTATCCAGTACACCCTAACCAAACAAGGCAGGAAGCCCAGGCCAGCCGGGGAAGACTGATCAACAGACAGACCAGGAACGGGAACACACTCCATTGTTATGGTCAGCCATACAAGGACAGACAAAACAATCTTGTCAACAACGGGACAAAGCTAGACTCACCTCACACTGGACCCAAACTGCCTGTCAGGTAGGTCATCCATTTCAAATATTAAGAGATTAAATTATAAAAGTCAAGAAAACAAATCAATAACCCTGGATTAGAAAAACCATTTCTTATAAATAAATGTTAGCACAAGCAATGAAAGGAAATCAGATGAATCACACTGGACCAGAATTTAAAGCCTATGCTTTAAAGTACACTGTCAGCAGTGAGAACACCCTGTGCTGCAGAGTACAGTGTCAGCAGTGAGAACACCCCGTGCTTTAGAGTACACTGACAGCAGTGAGAACACCCC